GAAGGCGCCAAGCAACGTGAGTGCCTTTCCCCTCCCCGGCTCCCGCACCTTGGTGCCTTCGGGATACTGCTAGGTTGGTTAGCGGTGCTCTGCCTGGCTGGGGGGGGGGGGGCCCGGGGGGCTTATTTTTGGGGGTGGGCTTATATTTTTGCCCATGCGAAAAATGTTGCAAGGAGTTAGTTTCAGGACAGATCGTATTTTCAGGGAAACATGGTGTGTGTGTGTGTGTGTGTAGCAAAGCAGCAAAATATGCCAGAAACGGTTAGAAAACTATGCAAATCAGTCAAGTGACCACAGGATGCTGCAATCAGTTGTAGTGCCTAAAATCCAGTCATGTGACTGGGGGGGGGGTAGCATGCTTTACAACAGCCGTCATACCTTCAAACTTACTGTGTTTCCCTGAAAATACAACATGTCCTGAAACTAAAGCCTTGCCACATTTTTCGGGTGGGGAAAAATATAAGCTCCTGTCCCGAAAATAAGCCCCTTGTACAACCCCCCCCCCCTCCGGTGAGGCAGAGCACTGCTCACTGACCTAATGGTATCCCGAAGGTGCCAGGGGGCGGGGCGGAAGAAAGGCACTCACGTTGCTTGGCATCTTCAGGATACCGCTAGGTTGGGGAGTGGCATTTTGCCTGGCTGGAGGGGGGAGTTGCTGGGCGGCTGCTCCCTTGTGAGCGGGCACACAAAGAGTCAGGCACAGCCTCAGGGGCGAAGCAGCCATGAGGTGACCATGCTCATGAGCAGCCACCTGGCAAACCCCCTCTCCAGCCGGGCAGAGCACCATTCACTGACCTAGGAAGTATCCCTAAGGCGCCAAGACACGTGGCGCTCTGCCCACCCCCCCAGCTCCCATGGCTTGGCACATTTGGGATACTCCCTAGGTCAGTGCATGGAGCTCTGCCCGGCTGGAGAGGGGGTTTGCCAGGTGGCTGCTCATGAGCATGTTCACCTCATAGCTGCTTCGCCCAAGGCTGTGCCCGGCTCTTCGGGAGCCTGCTCGCAAGGGAGCAGCTGCCCGGCAACCCCAAAACAATAAGCCCTCCCCATCTAATAAGCCCAAGGCCATATTTCATGGGTCAAAAAAGTATAAGACTCTGTTGTATTTTCGGGGAAACATGGTACTAGTTATAAGTTGAGGACTACCTGTAATTACTTTTTGAATTTCTTTAAATGTTTTGCTGAAATTTTGTATAATGTGGTGCCCAAATTTGGAGCCAGTTATGGTGGTCAAATCTAGAGTACATTACATCAAGGAGAGTCTTGCTTCAGTCTTCCCTCCCCTCTGGTGCCATGTGGTATTTACTCACCAGGACAAGCAGCAGCTAACATGGGCAAAGATTTCTTATCTTCTGCTCGTCTCTGGAAACGCTGCACAAACTCCCGCTGGCTCTCCAGCAAACTGAAGTTCCTGGTGAAAGTTGTATCAAGGACAAAATGTACCCCTGATAAAGGAGAAGGAAGAGAAGAAGTGTTGAATAGATACTACGACGAAGTGCAATTTCAGGATGGTATTTGGTCAACTCAGCTGCAGGAAAAAAAGGGGCTGCAACAATCGATCAGCAGCAACATTTTACAGGACCTATGACTGGTACTTCATTAGCTCATGCAGCTGGCCAAAAGGACTGTACAGATTTCTGTTAAGACATCTTGAATGCTAAGGTAAGGGTAAAGGTTCCCCGTGCACATATGTGCTAATCGTTCCTGACTCTAGGGGACTTTGCTCATCTCCGTTTCAAAGTCGAAGAGCCATCACTGTCCGAAGACATCTCCGTGGTCATGTGGCCCGCATGACAATGCCGAAGGCACACAGAACGCTGTTACCTTCCCAACAAAGGTTGTTCCTATTTTTCTAGTTGCATTTTTTACGTGCTTTTGAACTGCTCGGTTGGCAGAAGCTGGGACAAGTAATGTCAGCTCACTCTGTTATGCATTGCTAGGGATTCGAACTGCTGAACTGCCGACCTTCTGATCGACAAGCTCAGCATCTTAGCCACTGAACCACCGCGTCTTTAATGCTAGCTTGGAATAAAATGCATAATCTTTGATACTATAAAAATTTCCAACCTTACTTACAGTGAGTTCTTTACATACTTTGAATGCTGCTTCTTTCCTTCTACTTAGGCTCAGTTGCTATTTATAAGCAACTGCCATCAGATTCACCTTGTGTTGCTTGAATTTTCAAATCTGATCTCTCTTCCATTTTTTCCCAGCCTCCCCACAAATTGAGTGCAAATTAAAGTATTAGATTTGGAAAGCATTGGGAAAGTACAATAACTGAATACAAGAATAGAGACTGAATAAGATTACTCTTTCATTTACACTGTGTGCTTGATGATTTCCACCTAAGTGCAAGAAGGGGGTTTATTCTTATAGCCGCCCTGTTCAATTTCTCTGCAAGTGTTTTAGAACAGCATAATCCAGAATTCTTCACAACTTCCCAGAAATATGATTGAAATATTTTGTAGGCTAGTTTCCATGCTTGTGGGTGACAATAATGATTGAATTATTATAATTGGTATAAGATGAGGAAACACATTTTACCCCCATTTAAATATGTCCGCTTATATAGATGCCAATGCATATATTTCAAATTTATTTTCTCACATTTTCAATATTTCTGTCTTCAATGCTGCTTAGGTGTGACACACAAATGACTGATTTGGATTAATTTCATGGGACTAGCTCAGCATCCCTTTTGAGAATTTTAAGAAGCAAACTGGACGAGAGATGCCACTGAAGACTTTACATGCAAATCTCTTAGCACCATTTTCAAATCAAATACTACTCACCTAAATTCTTAAAGAAGGATGTCAGCTTCTTAGCTGTGTCTAAAGGAGTCATTCCGAATCTTGCAGCTAAAGAAGCTCTGGATTGGGGAGATACAGACACCACCACCAACTTCTTGGGAGAATTGGATGCCTTTTAGTTCAAAAAAGAAGAAAACAACCATAACTCTCCACTGACCTAACACACTGATATTTATATAACATTAAGGCAGGTGAATTATTTCAATGTGTTTATTATCTAACTAGCTGATAAGCCGTTGTTGCCCGAGTATTTATTTATCCTGATCCTGCATTAGACAGGAGAAGGTCTGATTTTGACGACAATTAAATTTGTTACAAATGTTTTCCCTGTGCCCTCAAAAACGTCAAGGAAAGTGATACCACGTTGTTGTTTTGCTAGCTGATCCATGATCATTTGGTATGCTTAAAAATAATCAAAGCCTTGTTGAAAATGTCCGGGCCAAACATAATTTCTAATGTTGGATTTCCCCCCTTACCAGAGGAAGTCGCCTTGTGGAGTACTGTGAAGCCGTTATCATGGCAACTCCACTGTGCTGTACAGTAGAAGCCATTTTATCGCAGTATGGTAGAAGCCATTTTAAGGCACAACAGGCTGTATCTTAATAGAACACACACCCCGAGGGATATTAGGGGTGTCTTACCCCCACAGTATTTGTTTCCAGAGAGTAAGTCATCTGTAGGTTCGGTTGAAATTGCTCAGACTTACGCTGAAACATACACACACACACACACACACAGAGCCATTTTTATATATATTAAAACATACCTCTTCACTAGAGGAGCTAAAATTAATATTAAAGATTGACTGCTGATGAACACATCTCTTCTCTCTTTCTCCCTTCCCCCCAATATTCAAGGTAGATAATGATTAAAAAGGTAATAGAAAAAGAGAGTTGGAGGCCATTAAAGCACAGCTCCCTGTTTAAATCACTTACCTTATTGGCATGTAACACTTTGTACAGCTCTTCGTGGCTCTGCTGAGTGATTAAGACGCTCTCCGCTGACGTGATGCAACCACTGCAGGCCAAGCAGTCATTAAGAGTAATCTTGGCCTTTTCCAGTTTTTGTGGCCCACCGTCCTAGGAAGGAAGCCATCGAATGGACTGCTGTCAGCATCCTGAAAAAAGTAATTGCGATGGGCATCCACAGGGAAGGTCAAAAGGCCAGGATGATAGATGTAGCCACACAAACCAAGTTTCACCACTTTCTTACATACAGCATGGTTGTGTGGCTACCATCTTGATCTTTTGGACACACACACACACCCCAGGTACAGGTAGCACTCAACTTATAACAGCTTATTTAGTGTCCGTTCAAAGTTACAACAGCACTGAAAATGGCAGTTGGACTTACCTGAACTGCATGTTTAGAAGAAAGGCGTGGGAGGAGTAACAGTTGGGTATTAACCCAGCCCTCTTGCCTATAGGAGACTGAGGTAATCTTTTGAAGCCACACCTACGGACCTCCTCTGACTTCCCCAGATTAACCGATGGATTGTAGCAGCATCTGAAAGGAAGGACAAACAAGAACAGCCAACACATATCCTTCCTAACCGTTATAGCTGAACCTGGACATGCTCAGGCCCCCCTAGACGCGGGGCGCCCAGGACGGGAGGGAAGTGACTCCTCCCAAGCCTTTCTTCTAAACATGCAGTTCAGGTAAGTCCAACTGCCAGTTTCCGAAGACAAAGCGTGGGAGGAGTAACAGTTGGGACATACCAAAGTTAGATGTCCTGGGAGGGATTAGATGGGCCTGAGCCCCCTGGAGAGTCCAGAACTCCCTGCAGTACCCTCCTGCCAAAGGCAGCCTCCGCGGAGGCGTATGCGTCAAGTCTGTAATGCTTAATAAAGGGAGAAGGGGAGGCCCAAGCGGCCGCCCGGCAGATCTCCTCTATGGGGGCCTGGGTGGACCAGGCTGCTGAGGTGGCAGCACTTCTCGTGGAATGGGCTGTGATGCCCTCTGGGACCTGGAGTCCTTGTGCCCTGTAGGCCTGTGAGATGGCCGCTCTAATCCATCTGCTGATGGTGGCCGGAGAGACCTTAGCTC